TGAAATTTATTTTTAAAAAAAAAAAAAAAATCACAGCAATTGAAAAGGCGATTGAGAAACGAAATAGACTTACAATGGTATCAGTGCACATTGAGCGAATTAAAGAGTGATGACTCAAATTTGCAATTAAATTTGTTTTTTTTTTTTTTTTTTTTTTTTTTAAGAAGAAAAAAAAATTCAGTGCACTCAGAAGCTCTCACTGGTCGAAGGTTTTCAACCTAATTTATGCTAAAAAACATCACTAGTACAGAAATTTCTCACAACAGTCTCCTTTTTCTTAAAATAGTTTCTTTTTTTTTAGCCTTTTCAGGTAAAAAAAAGTTGCCATCGATGCATTTTAGTAGCTTGTGGCAACCCTGTATAATTAAGTGAGAAAATTTAACATTTGTTTTTAAAAATGTTAAAGCATTGCAGTAACATTTAAACTTTATAATAGTATGTGTTCATTTTATTATTCTACAAACTTAAATTATTTCTTTAAATGAAATGGTACAATAATGTTATGAAAATTAGAGCTAAAAAATTAATGCTATAAATTAACAATAAAAATTTAAAAAACAAAAAATAGCAAACATAAGAAAAATTCATAATTGCAGCTCGAAAAAAAAGAGGAAAAATTTAGATGGATAATAATATAAAACATAAAATTTTTTTTATTGTATATTATTGGAGCAATAATAACTAGAAAGATAGAAAATTAAACTATAGTAATTAAAGTAACACTTCAAAGTTCTCTTTATTTCAAAATAAAATGCTGTTAAGAACAAATAACTGAAATCTTAACATAATAAGAAGCTGACCTTAACATAAGAGGTAGGTATAGTTTGCTTGGACTTGCTATAATGTCGTGCAATTCTATACACTGTTTCTGGAATATATTCCAGAACGAGGTTGAGATACACTTCTTCCTTCTGCAACAAAAATTCATTTTTAATAAAATTGCATTGTAAAAACTGGCATTATGATAATTTTTACAGATTGAAATTTTTTTAAAAATTATTTGTAATGTTTAACATTTTTGTGGTGCTTTTGTCATTGTGTCAAATATGGCTAGAAAATAGAATCAATTATAAAAGAAATTTACTACAGAACCATAAGCAAATTATTGCTATAGAAAGAGAAAATTAATAAAATAAAATTTAAACTATAAACAGGGTGTGTAGTCAGATTTCTCAACAAAAAATAAGCACCTTTTGAGTACTTAAAAATATTTTTAATCACTTTCCAAAAAAATAATAATATCATAATTAGGATCTGTGCAGTAAAATTTTTTTAAAATTGTTTAAAGTTCTTAATTTATAAATATAAAATCAATAAAATTCAAAAACTTCACATAATCCTGATAAAATAACTAGTTTCTGATCAATATTGGAGAGAAAATTGAGAAAATAATGCAGTTTTTGTAACTTGGAACGTCAATCGACACGGCAAAGAAAAAATCTTTTTTTTAAAGATAGAAAATTAAGCATTTTTTACAAATCTCGAATAAAAAAAACCCCCACCTTTATGGGCTTTTAAAAAACATAAATCAAACATTAGCTCCTTTAAGCACTTTTTAAAAATGCTGCAAACCCTGTAAATATTAATAACATTTAAAAGCATAAAGACTTTCTAACTAGAATTTTAGATACTTCTCACACAATGAATAAATCAATTACAAATGGGATATATTGCATTAGTAGTTAAGACTTTAGATATCTTACTCAAGCCAATCGAAATATTGAAGTTACAGGTCTAAAACTATTATATATATAAAAAAAATCATTTGTGATTATTGCAAATCCAACTAGTTGTTTGTTGTAACAAATGATTTTTAAAACCTTGACATTTTAATGTGACATAAAAAAAGGTTAACACAAATTTTGAATACCACAATTGAGAATCAGATTCAATTCCATTATAAATCCACATGGATTTGTCGATAGTTTTTTTGGCAATCAATGTTGCCTCAATGCTTTGATAATTAAATTTTTTTCTTGCCACAAGTTGCAAAACATTTTTGCGCTTTCAGAGGTTTCCAGATTTCAGAGGCACTATTGCAGAGCAGGGTGGGCAGGGTGCTGCCTCTCAGAAAAGGGCACTATAAATTTTGAAAGGGCATTTATTCATCACTGCAAAAAATTATTAAAATGTGTAATATTATGTAATAATTGAATTTGATTTATAACTTACCTTCTTATACTATCATATGTGTATATTTAAAAAAATAATTATCTCTCATTATCAGAGCAAGAGAAAAATTTGTAGTTTATAATCACAGGGTATAATTTTTTTCAGAAGATTAAACTAAAAAAAAAAATATTAATTGATAAACATCTTGAAAGATTTTTTAATAATATACACTGAAAATTATAAGAAAATAAACATTTAAAGTTGCAATTTTTTTTAAGAAAAAAGTTATCTATCAAAAAAATAATTTTAAAGATTAAAACCATTAAAAAATTTATAAATATCCCCCCTGAAACAAAGCGATACATTATAAGAATTTAACCAGATGAGAATAATCCTAACAAAGCTAATATTTGTAATAGTAATCAGAATTAAACCTATAAACACAGATAACTTTACCAGTGTGTAATTATTATTTATTGTATAATTATTAAAAAGTGAATTAATTTTTTTAAAAAAGAGATATGAATAAAAAGACAGTGTTTTTAAGGAAAGGGCGGCTAATTTTTGCAAAGAAAAAAAAAGAAAAAAGGCAAAGGGGAAACATATATGTGGATCAACGGACAAGCAGGGCGGACCGCCCTTCTGAAATCGCATAAGGACAACACTGCTAATGTGCATATAAAAATAAATGCTCTGAAACAAAGTATTTTTCTTTAAGAATAAAAAAAAAAAAAATGGTTTTTACCATCCCTAACTGAAATATAAGTGAGATAAATACTATTGGTCATATGAAAAATTAAGAACAAATTTTTTTAAAAGTTATTTACTTACTTTTTCCCCTTCTGAGTAAAAGAAATACTTCAATTTTACGATATTGCAATGGTTAAGTTTCCGCATAATTTGAAGTTCTCGATTCTGTAAAAAGGAACAGAGATAACTAATTAAGTAATAGCTAAATCAAAAGTAATTTTGAACAGAACATTTTCTGAGAATATAAAAAATTTCAGTAATAAGTGAAAAATATATGTTCTTAAACAAAAATTGAACTTGAAAAAAAAAAAAATTACTTTCACTGCTCAATATGGAATCTTTTAAAATTTTTTAAACGTGCAGTTAAGAGTATCTCAATATAACCTTTGCTACCAATTTGCAATTTTAAATGTTTGTTTAGGCCAATTACTTGTATAAATTAAGAGTAGATAAAAAATTTGTGAACGTAAACAAGCTAAATTTAATTCAAATGTATTAACTGCACAAAAATATAATAGATGAAACTCACAATAATAGGATATAAATAAAGTATTAAGTTGATGCCTTCTATTATAACAAACCAGAAAATAAAATAAAATGCTTTGAATAAAATTGTAAGTTAACAATAGTATTCATCCTAATTCAGAATGATTTATAAAAGGTTGCGTAGCCAAATCTTTCAACAAAAAATAAGCACCTTTTAAGTACTCAAAAATATTTTTAAGTAGGTACTATATACATTAACAAAATACATGATAAAATAACTAGTTTCTGACATTCTTGATAATATTAGCCATTTCTTTTCTTGATAATATTAGCCATTTTAAAATGTTCAAGAGATTTCTCGGTTCAATATCAGAGGGTGGAAAAAGCCCGAAATTGAGAATGCAGCAGATTTGCACATGAGAGTGCAATAATCTCATTGACCCCAACTAAGTAGACGCACATGCAGGCTCGCAAGTATTTCTTCAAACATGTAAAATGATTGGTACTATCATACGCTATGTACCGAGGGCACGCTGAAATGGATTGTAGTTGAATGAATTGTGAAAATGTTGAACAGACCAATGTGAAAATGTTGAACAGACCAATGTGAAAAGCACATTTTTGCATAATACGTGGCAAAAATCGAAATGGTAAAGAAAAAATCTAATTTTTTAGAAAGGAAAATTAAGCACTTTTTAAAAATACCCAATGAAAAAAGCATCTTTAAGCACTTTTTAAAAACACTACAGACCATGTAAACAAGACAACCAATGACAGTTTAGTTTTATTGATAAAACTTTACAAAATTCAGTAACATTCCCATTTTTGTTTATTGCATATTCAGTTATTTAAACATTGATCAGTTATTCTCCAAAACTCATGCAAATATTCAGATGAAATTAGCAATTTTTTTTTAAAATCACAAAAAAAAAAAAAAAAAAAAAAAAAAAAAAAAAAAAAGGCAGATTATACAGAGATGGTAAATTACTCTGAAATTACAATGGTATAACTGTTATTGTGATGCATGTGGTAAGATGAGTTTTAACAATTTTTTTTATTAAAAGAAATGCCATGTTAATAATGAATAAAATGTAAAGAAGCAAATTAAAGATTAAAATAATAAAACACTTTAGGGAACACTAATTTGATGTAGAAAGAGCAGAAAAACGTAAAAGAAATCTTTTCCTAACTCTCTGCAAAATACTAAACTATGAACTACAAAACTATACAACTTTATTCTTAAATATGCATAAATTACGTTTATTGAAACTTTTTAGGCATTATTTTATTTTTACATTAAAATAAAACAAGAAAAAATAATAATCAGGAAATGCTGGTTTGATAAATTCAAACCATTATCTTACTGCATTTTCATTAGGTTTATCATAAAAATATCCCATAATGTGTAAATTATAAGTTATTTAGTTTTTGTTATTTTCCCTTCCTACAATCAATGGTAATTGTGTGTCTACAGCGACGGATTAACCTATAGGCACACTAGGCACGTGCCTAGGGCCTACGAAATTTAGGGGCCTACGAAAAACTTGGGAGAAAAAAATTTGTTGACAAAAATAATTTAGCTTTAAAAACAACAAGTGTATTTTGCACAAAATTATGAAGATACAAATAAAAATATAATATTTTTCGGTAATAAATTATTTTGCAGAATCTTATGATCTAATACAGGGATGGGGAAACTACGGCCCACCGGAAGGTTTTATCCGGCCCGCAGATGGAATTTTAACTTGCTGATCTGTGGCGAATATAAACAATAATCCATTTTCTTGTCTACTTCGTTTGAAGTTATTTTTCTTTCTTTTTTAACTAAGTACTGCGGACCTTTTAACTTTCTCTATTTTTGTTCTACAAAATAATAAATTGATGGAGGCTAGCACAGACAGCTTCAATTGGTGAAATGAGCAGAAGTTCTTTATAGAATAGCCGTAGATTGGTGCCATCTGAAGCAATTGTTTCTGAATATGCCAAAAATTGAGTTTTACAAATCATTACCAAAAGCTAGTTTCCCAAATATTTCATGCCTAGAAAATCAGGGCCATGTTTGCTTCCTTTTATTTATGTGTGAACAAGTGTTTTCATCTACAAACCTGAGAAAAAATCATTTCAGAAGTAGTTTACCCTTGTTCCTTAAAATAAGTACATCTCACTTGGAACCTTAATATAAGGAACTTTTAAAAATGAAATCGCAATTTCATTCATCTCATTAAATATTTACATTGAAAAATGCATATAGTATTTTTTTTTATTTTAAATGTTTTTATTTAGCCCACCAAAATTTTTTTTCTTCGATTTTTGGCCCTCGACCAGAAAAGTTTGCCCATCCCTGATCTAATATATTATTTTTTTGCGATTTTTTGATTCAACGAAATCTTGTATTATGCTGTCGAATTCCAAACTACGCAAAATGTCTTATTCACTTATCATTTGATAGGGAACATGGTNAGTATGTCGGTATTGCAGATAAAGTTCGATGAACAAATTTGTAAATTAAAATCCATATTAATAAAAATGTAAAAAAAAAAATACGCAAGAAAATTTTAGCATATATATGTTGAAAAGAGGGGAGGAGTGGGGGAAGGGCCCCAAAACGGCTATGTCTAGGGCCCACGAAAGGTATAATCCGGCTCTGTGCCTAGGGCCTATGAAAGGTATAATCCGGCTCTGTGCCTAGGGCCTATGAAAGGTATAATCCGGCTCTGTGTGTCTAGGGAAGAAAAATGTATTACTGCAGAGAAATGAGGCAACAAACCTAATTAAAATAGACAGGGTGCGTAGCGAAATCTTTTAATAAAAAATAAACAACCTTGAAGTTCTTTTTAAGCACTCAAAAATATTTGTAAGCACTATATACACTGAAAAAAAGCAAAATAATTTTGAAAGACTTTACATGATTAAGATTATCATAAAATAACTAGTTTCTGACAAAGAACACTTTTCTTGATTATATTAGCCACAACAAAAAGATCGAAAGATTTTTCGGTTCGATTTCAGAGGGTGGATAATGAAGTCAGAAATACTGAATATCTTGCAAAATGCAGCAGAGTTGCACATGAGAGTGCAATAATAATATTCCTCGAACCCGACTTAGTAGACCCACACGTGGACTCGCAAGTATTTAATCAAACATGTAAAATGAATGGACCAACAGTATGCCGAAAAGGATCGAGATTGAATTAATTGGGAAAACGTTGAATAAAACAATGTGAAAACCATGTTTTTTGCATAATTCATGGCAAAAATCGACATGGTAAAAAAATACATTTCATTTTTGAAAAGGGAAAATTAAGTACTTTTTAAAAACCAATAAAAAAAAAAGAAACTATAAGGGCTTTTAAAAAACGGAGATCGAAAATAAGCACTTGCAGCACTTTTTAAAAATGCTATACACCATGTTTTTTACTTTTCAAACTTCATAGTAAGACACGTGTTCCCCAAAATAAAACTTTTAGAAAATTACAAGAAACAAATGGTTTTTAAGAGAATGACCATAAAAAAATATTTTTTTTTTCAACAAAATTTTTATCTCAAATAATTTAGTTTATTATTAAGGAAAAAATTCTACTTTGAATTTTTGAAAAACGTAACTTAGTAATAACTTTTGCAATACTGAAGGTTATATGCACAAGACCAGCTTTTTTCCACCCTTCCTTTGTTTTCTTTAAATTATTATGTTAATAAAAGGTGGTTATCCCTATTTTAATTTCAAAATTTACATTTATTTTATAACATTTTTTAAAACTTAATATATATAATCATCAAAAATAATTAACTTGGAAAAAAAAACACGTCAAAGTTAATTATAATTGACAATTTACATGAAAAATTAATCTTGATAAAAATTAATTATGTAATCAATAATGCCTCCATTTCTCGAAAAATTGAATAAACATTTTCATAATATTTTAAACATTACAAATAATTTTAAAACATTCCATACTTAAAAATTTCTGTATCAGAAACTATTAAAACAAAGTCAAAGTGCAAATATAATTAAAGTGACCATAAAAACTAAGGAAAAAATAGTTTTACTTTTCTGATCGATCATACAAAAATTTTTAGATTCTCAGAATAAAGGCAAAAAGTTATTATTTATTACCTATTTTTATTTAATTCACCATTCTTCAAATACTTAAAATACACTACAAAACACTAACACCAATTATGAATATTAACATTCAAGTTTGAATATAAACAATTTATTTTAATCAGTACTAGTATAACTAGACTAAAACTCATTGATTAGCAGCTCATTTAGAACAATATTACATGGAAGGATTCAGGTGAACAGGTGCAATAGAAAAACAATAATACATTTTTAATCAGTACTAGGACTACTAAAAGTAAAACTTATTGATTAGTATATCACTTAAAACAATATTACATGGAAGGATTCAGATGAAGAGGTGCAATAGAAAAATTTTAATTTTTAATCAGTACTAGCACCAATAGAGTAAAACTTATTGATTAGCAGATCATTTAGAACACTATTACACAGAAATATGCGGGTGAAGAGGTGCAATCGAAAAACAATAATACATTTTTAATTAGGACCACTAGAGTAAAACTTATTGATTAGTATTTCACTTAGAACAATATTACATTTTTAATCAGTACTAGGACTACTAAAGTAAAGATTAGATAATTGATTAGTAATAGTATTGATTAGTAAAAATCACTTAGAACAGTATTACATGGAAGGATTCAGGTGAAGAGGTGCAATAGAAAAACAATAACACATTTTTATACCAAGAATTAATTAACTTTTTGAGGGAAAGATTTATTGGCAAATAAATAGCATAAATCTACAATGAAGTACTTTATAGTTAACACTGAAAATAAATATGATTTTTTAAAATTATCTTCTACAAATGTAAAGCAATATAAGCTTAACCAAGACCAAGAGTAAAAAATATTAAAAAGATATATAACAAATTAAATATATGATTAGACTTAAAATCTAACCTTAAATCGCTTGTCTTGTAACACTTTCTTAATAGCAACCAATTCTCCAGAATCCACAAGTCTAGCTTGATAAACAACACCAAAGGAGCCATTGCCAATCACTTTGGTGTCTGTCCAACACACTTCAACAGAACGATCTGATCCTTGCCCAGGAGTGGCAATGACATTAGTCACTTTGCCACCTTCCTTGCCTATCAATAAACATTTTTTTCAGACTTAATATCAAGCAACTGATTTAATTATAGAATACAAAATGCCCTCAACATTCTATAAGGATAGATGTTACCAGGGGCCTGTCTAGGTTTTTCTGAAATGTACCTATTTTGTGAAAATTTAGACATAATTTTATGAAAAATTAAAAACTATATAAAAAAATCAACACAAAAACATGGTAAAAATATAGATTTATTGTTTCTTAAGGGATTTCTTAAGGGATACAAAAATAAAATTTTAAGAAAAAGCATTTTGTGAAACTACCCATTTTGTGAAACTACCGTTTTTCCTAAAGTTGAATTTGTGAAAATACCGTTTTACCTAAAATTGAATTTGTGAAGGTACCACTAAACGGTAGTAAATTCGCCCTGGACAGACCCCTGGTTACGCAATCTCAAATACATGGGTGCCACTCAAAAAAATATTGAACTTGCATTTTAACAGATTACACAGTCTAGCGTTATTCCCTGTGGCAGAACTTTTTCAAGCTATCTATGACAAAACTCTTCTAGCACTTATATCTTTCCACAACATACTTTTAATTATAACAAGCATATATTTTACTACTTTAAAATAACAAAAATGCTGTGTTTACAAAAAAAAAAAAAAAAAAAAAGCTATTATAATTTTTTTTTTTAATGGAACTTGTAATAATTTTTTATTCTAATATCACGGGTGATATTCTTGCATTCTGTTTGGGGGGAGGGGACACAAAAAAATTATTTCCTTCTTCGCATTTTATAAATAATCATCACAATAAAAAAAAAAAATAAAAATCATGGAATCCGTAGTGGTAATTGCCCCCCTCCCCCCAAAAAAAGATTGACGACAAAGCCATGCAATTTGGACTCCTAAGATGCATGTTTCGTTTGAACTTAGGTAGCTGAAATAATATTGTATAAAAAAATGTCAGATTTAAAAACTATAGAGAAATCAATAGCAATAACTGGCAAAAGCAGTAAATACTCAAATTCACAATTAAAATTTTCCACATTGTTTGAAATATATCGGGATATTCTAAATGCACAATTCAAATATTACGTGTAAATTTCTGTAGAAAAGAAAGGTAATTTACTTTTCAATAGAAAAATCTTTCTGCAAAAACTCTGTAATATTCTGCGAAAATGTAGCCGGGTCGCTGCAATTCTGCCACAGGGGCGTTATTCAGCAGAATTTTTCAGAAATTTATAGCTCACTTTGCATGAGAATGGTCCACATGTTAGATTAATAATTTTATTATTTTTTTTCTAACAGAAGAAAACAACCTATTTTTTTTTAAAAATTTTGTTTATTTTTTAGCATAGCAGGGAAAATGACTGACTACGACTCCTGGAATTTCAAATTTGAAGACTCTCACACCATCATACATATCTACTAGATTTTCCAGTAGACTACTGAATTTTGCTAGTTTCTACTATAGTTTAATAAAAATTTTCCTGGTTTTTGTAAATTTCCTAAAATTAAAAAATTTAGAAAATTTCAAAAATTAGAAAATTTTCAGAAAATTTCTTAAAAAATACCTATTGAAATAGATTTCTTGTGAAGATTATTGCTTGCTTGAATATTCAAATAAAAGTCACTAATATATAATAAAGCAAGCCTCATTTATACAGGGTATCTGCACCCCTGGAGGTCATGAATTTTGGTATTGAACAAATTTTGAATCTCGCTCAGGGCATGAATGTTTCTTTCTCTCTCCGTGTTCTACAAGGGGTGATCAAAGGAAAAGGTACGAAACGACACGGTGGGTACAAATGTAGACTTCCTTCAAAATATACACCTTAGGCCTGAGCACAACGATCCCACTGATGAACAAGCTGCAGGATTCCTTGTTCTCAGAATTCCAGTGGCCGTGACGAGACCTAGTCCTTCACAGCGTCCTTGAGTATGTCGTCCGAGTTGAAGAGCTTCCCTTTCAGGTGTTTCTTCAGTGGACCAAACAAATGGAAATCTCAGGGCGACTAGTCCACATTGTAGGGCAGATGGTCTAATGTCCCCCACTTGAACTTAGCCAGTTCCATGTGTGTGATTCTGGAGACGTGTGGACGCGCAGTCATGGAGCAGAACCACACCCTCCGTGAGCAGCCCCGGTCCTTTGTTCTTGATGGACTTGCGTAGGCTTCAGAGTGTCTCACAGTACACATCAGAGTTAATGGTTTTTCTGTGCTCGAGGAAATCAGATAACACCTCTCTGCTCCTCAATAGTTGAATTTTGCAATGCGAGCGCCATCCAGTCCTTATACGGACTGCCGCATCATTTGAACTACCGCTTTTGACAAGAGCCTCAGCTCTCTCCTATGCATGCGGGCACCCACGCATGCTCCGATCCCGGTCAGAGACTCCAATCGCATCCCAAGATGTCGCACTACATTCTCCCATAGCGGAATATGCAAATATTTAACTGTTAAGTTTTTACGTCGTTTCGTACCTTTTCATTTGATCACTCCTTGCATGTCTTTTCTTCTGTGTGATTGTAATCCGCCCTATAAACGGGTTTGTGGTAACATGACGTGGGCGATGCTACTCCACCGCTGTAGCTTAGCCATAGGTGTTCATTGGGCAATGATAAGAGAGTAGCAATTCTGAAGACCCAAGTGCCCGCTATTAACCAGAAAAAAAAACTGTCAAGATTTTAACTATTTTTAAAAAAAATCATGGAAAGTCATAGATTTAGGCCCTTGAAAAATCTAATTTTCAAAATGGAACCCCCCCCCCCTAATTTCATGGTGTTCTGAATATCTCAATCTGTAACAAAATCCCCACTCACAATCATATTTTATTAAAATATAAAATGTTTTTATCATTTTCAATTTTTGTTGTTTTATTTATTTTATAAATTTAAAATTCTAGCTGAAGCAAGCCAGTCATTGTCGAATTTTTTTTAATTCCGAAATGAGAACAGAAAAAATCAAGAGTATTTCTTCCTTTCAGATGAACAAGAAAAGTATCTTTAGATAATTCTGCACAAAAATAAAAAATTTACTTTTATATTTTCTTTCCAGCTATTTTATTGCTTCAACTCTTTCTTTACTCAGTTTTTTAAATTTGATATAACAAGATGTATACATAGCTCTTGAAGAAAAAAATATCCTTCGTGCAAGAGACCTCTTTTAGAACTTCTACAAAAATCTATCCTAAAAAGTTAGAAGAAGGAACAGTTGTAGCTCTTCCTCTTATTTAAGTTAATGTGGAAAGACTATTCTCAGCTCTGAAGTTTATCAAATCAGATAGGTGGTCCTTTGTCGAAAAAGATCTTGTTGCCTACACTGTTTCTCAGAAATAACTAATTCCTGTTTTTCCATTTTATAATAATTGCTAACCAATATAAATAATCTGCTATGCTATAAATTTTTTTTCTGAAGCATCTATTATTTTTTTTATACTAAAAAAAAAAAATGCTAAAATCCACTGTGTATGTTTATATCTGTAAAAATAATAACTCAGTTTGTGATTTTTTTCTTTTCAATTTAGTTCAATTTCATTTCAAATTCAAACTGTCCAACAAAAACTGAAGTCTGAGTCGAAGTGTTTTTAGCGAAATCTGACTCCTTTTAATCAAAAATCTGACAACTCCACCTTCCTGGTCAACATGAATTTTAGGATGTGTCTATTAATTTATTTATTTATAATTACAATATTATTTGCAGAGATAAGTAGATATATCAAGATAAGTAAGAAATTCAACTAATTGAAAACTATAAATAAATTTAACGAATAAATTTGTCTCAATGTGTTAAATAGAAAATTTAAATTCAATAGCTGACTTATTTTCAAACTATTATGGATTAGAAATTGACATAAAATGATAGATAGATAAACATCAGTCTTAAAAGACCAAAAATTACACTATCGACATAAAAAAAACTATGTAGTTGTCGAAACATCATTAATATATCTAGAGAGCAGTAAGACATCTTAACTAATATGAAATGTAAAATAGAAATAAAATAAAAAAAACATTATTTTAAAAGGCAATAATTCATAGAAAGATGGTTGAAAAAATTGCCACCAATTCTTTTTTCATAAAACAAAGTATTTCATAAACAAAATTATAAGCATATATTTTAATAACCATTTAGATTAAATATTATTTCGACATCACATAGTGCATTATTTCTCATAACATTAGCTTTGATTTCCAATCCATCTGTAAAATATGTTGAAGAGATCAAAATAATATTCAAACATTGATTTAGCATGTTTTCTGAATTTGATTTTTAACCTTGAGCTTTTATTGAACCAGAAATAATAAGTTGAATAGTTAAAACATGAGAATTATTGTGTGTTCTATAGAAAACAATGAAACGATCTTCATTTCCAGTGATCTTATGTTCAAGCAAACGTGATTAGAAAAACTTGGTATTAAACAGGTGATCTAAAGATAACATTAAACTCAATGATCACTGGAATCGATATTTTCCGATGTAAGATTTTTAAGAATTATATTCAGTGGATTTATGTCTATTACGAAAGTTAACCTTCATTATGAATACATTCAATGATATCAAAAGATAAACATTTTTGGGTATGATACAAATCGTTGTTAATGTACATTAACTTTAGTTTGATTAATGAAGGACAGCTAAAAAGGTGTGAAATCTGCAGCATTTATAGAAATCTATGTCGTAACAAACTTCATGCAAATAAAGAAAAAAATTAGAGCTTAGGTGAAAACTTACAAGACTTTTGTAGATGAAACATATATACAGTTCACTACCAATTAATTATTCTGTAACGAGGTCTAAAATAAGAGTACATCTTTATTTAATCACATCCTTCATCTAATTGGAAACACGTTGTGGATCTACATATTAATTAGTTATTTTCATCATTCAAAAACAGAAACAATATGATAATGAAAAATATCAAGAACGAAGGTACCTAGTACTTGCAAGCAGCGAGTTTTGCTTGAGCAACCAGGCTGCTCGCAATACTTAACAGTTGAATGATTCAATTTCGGTAACGAATCAGTTTCACTAAATGAAAAAAAAAGAGATTCTCTTCGTTTTCAAATCTTTTTACTTCCTGATCAGTATTTAGCAATAATAAGCAGCTGGAAACGTCTTCTTGTTTTCATTTACAATTCTGTCAACCCGCCTGTGTATAAAATAGAAAGAATTCAATTTCGCTAAAATGTTTTGTTCTTAAATTGATCATCAGTGTCATTTACAGCTGCAAATAAAAATTAAGAAAACATACAAAAAGTAATTGTTTTCCACTTGTTTTTGTTTTGTGCTCCTAACTTAGAATTGTGTTATAAAGAACGTGTTTCTGTTTCATCGTGTATTTGTTTTCTTGAAATTAATTTACTTGTTTCTCAAGTTGAGAGTTAAGGTGAATTTCCGCGGCATTAATTCTTGAAATAAATTTTTTGTGGGTGAAATATACGGTTGAAAGTATATATTTTTTTTGTTGAATTAGCAATTTTATACATATTTTCGATGAACATGAGAGTTTTCATATTAAGTTTTCATGAACTTAACATTACAACTTAGTTTTTTTTTCCTCCAAGTTTTTTAAATAAAGTTTTCCTCAAAGTGTATAAATAAGTGCGCTTTCAATTGGGTACTGTACCTGAGAGGTGTTATTTTAAATCTTTCATTTTCTAACTTGACTTCTAATTGTTTGGAAGTCTCATTTCTGAAGTCATTTTTTCCCCGTCTCGTTTCCTGTGAAAACTTTAAAGAATCCCTTGATTAAGAGGGACACCCATGAATTTTTAATTTTTTCCGAAATTTTATTTTAGAAAGCTATTTACTCCTTTTATATTTTTAGTTTACTTCTCGCCCTATCGCAATTTTTCTCATTAGAATATTTATTTCATTATTCAGTGGTATGTTTTGCTTAAATCACTTACAAGGAGTAGAAAAAATACATCCAAGACCCATTTTTTACATAAATTATATCTTTATGAAAATAAAATCTAGGTAAAATGTTATTACTGTCTCATGTCCCCAAAACACATTTCTGAATTTTCTAAGTAATTTACTTTGTTATGAAAAGGTTTGCATAAATGTATACATAATCTACTATTGTGTGACCGTCCACTCGAATATTTATAAACAGACTCCATTGTAAGTCTATTTTATTTCTCGATCGCCTTTTCAATGATTATTGCTACGAAATTCCACATGATTTTTAAAAAAAAGAAGAAAAAAACTGTTAATACGATATTATCCGTGAATTTTGAATTCGAGTAATCACTTTTCGTATATATATATGTATATATATA